TCTATATTATCACTGGAATTATCTAGGAATGCTGAAACATGTGGTGCTAATAAAAAGATGACCTTGTTTAGTGAGTTTGCCAATTGTTTTTAACTTCTCTACAAAGAATGTACCCTCTTATTGCCTTGGGACAGGTGGCTCCCACTATCCTATTTAAGTAGCCATTGCTGTATAGTATTGTTAACACCTAAATTAAACACCTAATTTAAAAAATAAAGGGCTGTAGATGGTGCCCAAAACAAAACAAAACAAAAATGTTTTCAAATCAATCATGTGGAAATTAAAAGATATTCACAAGAATATTTGCAATTAAAAAAACCCAGACTTGGCCAGGATCAATATGTAAAAAATTCAAACAAGCACATTAGAAATGATTCAAAGCTTACTGCAAGTCAGTTATCCATACACTTTACAGAGTCAAGCAATGAAAAAGAGGAAGTGGTGAAGAAGCTATGTAGCTAGTTTAAGCTGCTTTAGACTAAAAAATAGTAACAAGATATAAAATGTAATCTTGAGACTCTCCCAAAATCTATTTTGTTGTTCTTCAAAAACATATGTATGCAACTGATTGAAAAACAAATTTTTAAAAAGTTTTTAAAAATGATTTTTAGTTGTTAATGGACCTTTATTTTATTTATTTGTATGTGGTACTGAGAATTGAACCTAGTGCTTCACGCATACTAGGCAAGTGTGATAACACTGAGCCACAACCCCAGGCCCTAGAAAGCAAATTTAACCCAGTTGTTTATATTACATTTGAGTGAATGTATAGATATAATGAACTGGCCCATTTACTGGTCTCTGTTCCCTAATTTTAATAAAGATAATTTTTATGAAGTGCTTTGTGTTTTCAATGAGGTGGTCAAAAAGATAAATTTAAAAAGGAATAATGCATTAAGTAATCATCTTGCAGCCACACTGTAAGTGCATGAAATAATCATCTTGTGGCTAAATTGTAATATAATGAGAAGTGACTTTAAGTGTTAACAATTCTATACAGCAATGGCTACTTAGATAGGATAGTAGGAGCCACCTGTACTAGGGTCGGGCAATAAGGGGGTACATTCTTTGTAGAGAAGTTAAAAACAATTGTCAAACTCACTAAACAAGGTCATCTTTTTATTAGCACCACATGTTTCAGCATTCCTAGATAATTCCAGTGATAATATAACATATTTATTCTTCCACACAGGCATAGACAGCTCCCTCTGTTCCCCTTCCAAGCAACCCCTGAAGTTACGCACCCCTGTTGTACTATAGATGAATGCTACCTTAGTTGGGAGATCTCAAAATTTATGTACTCAGAGTTTTGTTATTTTTCTTCATGAAGGAAAAATAATTACAAGAAAGGGGAAATCCTCAAAAAATAAGATGACTGCATTAACTGTTAATCATAAAAATCCAAAGTAACTCACAAAGTGATATTGCTCACAAAAATCCTGAGAAAAGTTGCCATTAATAGAAATATATGTAGGTGGGCCCAGATTTTAGAAATAGTCTGACATCAAGACAGAGAAAGGAATTTTCTGGTCCAGCATCAACCCCCTTTAATTTAGTTTGATTTTTCTTGTAATAATAGACCCAGTGTTACAATAATTTTTTGTCTATGAGGCAAAAGGACAAATAACATTTTTTCATGATAGTAAGTTATTCAAAACAAATAAACATATGTTTAAAATATAGTATAAAATAGACCATGAAATTCACATGAATTTCAAAGATAAAATGTGAAATAGCAAATAACTTTGTTCTTTATAGAGGGTCAATTTAAGATAATATGTCCAGACTCATCAGTTCAGGGGTATTCCGATAAAAAATTTAGAGCTGTATTTTCCCACCATAAAACTTATCCTGTGGTCTCATAATTACTTGCCACTTGTCCATGAGTTTCTCCTCATATGAATTCCTTCAGAGATAAAGATCATATAGTTTGTCTATAGTCAACCCTTAGCACATAGATTGAAGAAGACCTGTCCACCTACCACTAGCCATTTTAAGGGCTATAATCCTACCCTTACCCCCTGATTAAGGGATACCGTAGTCAGTACGTTTCTGATATACATGACCCTGAAATTCTCTCCTCTTTTGCTGTCTCTCTCTATTTCATATACATACAGATATATATGTTTACATTTGTATAAAAAATACATTTGCACATGTATACAAGCATTGTTGCACATGTATGTTTGTATATATATATGCATGTATATGTTTCATATAAATATGCATATATACACACAAATATACACACATGCAATATATATACATATAAGTATCAGGAAATAAAGACTGTATCAGATGTGAGGCATTAGCACATTGTTTGAATTCTCTTTTTAAATTCTTTTGAGAAAGATAATTATTGGTTAGCTTAAATACAACTACATAATAAGATCATTTGATATGAGGGAGCTTTCTATGGACTGGTTTCTCAGCACAAACTCCAAATATTTTCTGCCATTACCTCCTATAGGGTTGATGCTGGAAAGTCAAAACTACAATCTCCAGGCTCCCTTGCAGCTAGGGTTCTCAATGTAACAGATTTCACTGATTTACAAATATTCAAGTAAGACTTGATATAGAGGTAAACATGCTGCATGTGGGTTGTGCTTTCATTTATCATGGGTTGTCCTAGAGACAGTGTGGTTTTACAGTCTGAAGTGGTAGGAGCAATCTCCTGATTTGTTGGTTTTCCTATTTGTGAAATAAGCAGAATAGTTCTAGAAGCTGTGAATGTTATTGGAAGCTCAGCCTAAAGTCTGCTTTTCCAGCCCTATCAATGATTCTGTACTTTCTGGTTTAGACTAGGTAGAGTATATTCTGTTCTTTGCAGTTGAAAAGCATATAATGGTGTGTATTTGTATATGTGTGTGTGCGGGTGTGTGTGTAAGCACACATTGAAGAGCAATAACTCTGCTGTAAAATCAAGTTAATAAAATTCTCATATGCAATAGCAATCCAGCATAATATCTGGAAATCAGACTCAAAAATAACCTCTTCTCAAAAGCAGCTTATAAAGGTAACTTAAAAGTTTATGAGCATGTGGAATGACAGTCCAATTTCATGTACTAAAATCTGTTAGCTAAAAGTGTGTGTTTTCCAAGGTCATTTAAAAATTCTTGTCTAAATCTGGTTTTATTTTGGGTTATTTGCCCAAAGCAGAAGAGAATGCGGCTGTTAAAAAAACAGCAGAACAGCAGCAAGATGTGTATCTAACTTCCTGACAGTGAAGAATGAGCCAGGAAATTAAGAGCAAATGTTAGAACAAAGAAAGCTTAGTAGTCTGGTCCATTAGTGTGGGACAAGGGGAACTCTGTGCCTCAATAGCTCAGAGAACATCTCTAGTTTGCAATATAATGATGGCACTAAATCAAGAGGAGAAGTTTAAAATTATGTTGTCTTTCCTCTCTTTAATAACAGAGCAAGCTGATGTCTAGCACTGTGTTTTATCTTCCCAATAAACTATTCATTTTCTAAGATTTAGGGAGAAGGCAATTGCAAGGGCTCAGTGAACGTTTACTTCATGAGCGAGACTCCCCTACTTTCTCCATAGCTTGCTGTGTGGCAGAACACATAAGGGATGAAGACTTTCCCTAGATACTTCTGTGAGGTCACTGAGCTCCTGTTGGTAGCTTTGGTAGGCCATTTGGGTTCCACATTTTACCTGTCACCTTGCTCTTGTCAACTGAGGCAGTGGCATAATGGAGCACAATAAATAGAAGGAAAGGGGCAATGTGAACAATTTGAACCATTCCTTTTGGCCTTTACCTTGAAGTCTTGTATTTTCAGAAGGACCAAGAGTCAACATAAAAATCAGGTTTCTTTGGAGAACTAGGAGACATCGGGGGAATATTTTGAGTTTTCTATGATTTTTGATTCCAGCATTTTGTTGTGGAGGCAAAATAACTGTGAAAACAATTTTGTTATTCTTTTTCCAGTTAGAAGAAGTTGTTTGATTCCAACTTTCTTTTCTAGGGGCAAAGCTTAAATCATGGCCCTTTGGGAAGGAAGTGTCCCCCAAAAGCTCACGTGTAAAACAGTGAAAGAAGGTTCAGAGAAGAAATGATTGAGCCTTAACCCAATCAGTGGATTTATTCCCTCAAAGGAATTAACTGAGTGGTAATTGAAGTGGTACTGTGTGGCTGGAGGAGGAGGATATTGGAGCATGGCTTTGGGATATGTATTTGTATCTGGTGAGTTGAGTCCCCTCACCCTGCCCACACACTCTCTCTCTCTCTTTCCCCTTCCTGATCATCATGTGAGCTGGTTCCCTCTGCTACACTCTTGCACCATGATGTCCTGCCTTACCTCAAGCCCTAAGGAATGGAGCCTGCTATCTATGAGACCTCTGAAACTGTGAGCTCCTAAATAAACCTTTCCTCCTCTATAGTTGGCTCTGATTGGGTCTTTCAGTCACAGCAGGAAAAAAAAAAACTGACTAAAACATGCTCCCTAAGTTTAAACAGTATTTTCCAGGTCAATGGTACCTTAACCCAGGAAATAATACATAAGAAAAAAATCTCAGTTGTCTCTGAACACCATGATGACATGCCACAAAGAAGCATAATGGGAAATGAAAATTAAAAAGTTCATCTGTTCATGTGCCTAAAGCTTAATGCTGCAAAGTTATTACCCTAAATAAGCACAAGGGCATTGGCTTTCACCAACATAGGCTTTTGCAAGAAACTATTTTATCTGGTTCAAGAATCTGCAGAATCTTTGTGCCAAATGGTAAAATTGAATTTCTGTCTTCAGAAATAGGAAAGACTGCAAACTCAAACTGATGGAAGAAATTGCAAGAGAATATTCAGCCAGGGTCTTCTAAAAAACATTGATTGTAAATAAAGAACTGTGAATGTAGGAGTTTTGGGTAACTAATGTTACCAAAAAGAGTACATCAACTTTTCCCTTTGTAACAATCCCTTGCCTCCTCCTAGTATACTGTGGCCTGTATAATGCACATTTCCTAATTCTTATGTCTGTTCTTTCCTCTTGAATTGGCAGTGCATCTGGAGAGCTATATAGGAACATGCAAGAACTACTAACAACATTTGCTCCTGGGAACAAGTAAGTGCAAAAATCCCCCTTGTTTTATTTATCAGCAGAATGATTGGTCATGGCTTATTTTCTCTTTCCCTAAAGGAGTACAGTTTAAGCTTGGCACAATTTATGCTGAATTAATTGCTGCTATTTGCCTATTCTTTTCCATGTCAAACCACTGGAAAGCTACAGAAACTGGCTTGAAGGTTCCAAAGCATGGGATCCTTTTCCAGGAAATAATCTTCAACATTTGAATGGCAGGTAGGTTGAGAAGGATACCCAGAAGGAAAAGCAGCTCATGGTGGATGTTAGAGGGTGAAGAAAATGGAAAGCAGCACAGTGCAATTCCTCAGAGTTTAAACACGGTGAATAGGGCATCAGTGTGAAAGCACAGGTGGTGTGATAGACCATGGATTACATTTGGGTGATTGATCAAATAAGTAATTATATTAAGGGTAACAAGAGCCAGGTTTCTCACTTTTAGAGAATAGAGTTATAAACAATAAGAAGAAAACAAGAATGAATTCTGTGGTATTGGATTGAAATTGGAGATTTTGATGTGAATGTGTGATTTTATTTGTACAAATAGTAACACATAAATGTAAATGTATTTGTGCTTACATAAACATACTATAGCTTTGTATGGTCTTAGTGCTTATTTGCCAAAAAAGCAATAAGCACCAACAGAAAATAATGGCATCTCTGAATGCCATTCAATGCTAAAGGTCCAGAGAGCTTTGAATTTTGGAACCAGTGCAGAGGTAGGAAAAGCACAACATGAGCCTGGATCATCTTGTTATTATTGAAACAATTGGCAGATCTGGAATGGGGTCTGGTAATTTACTGATGTTGATGTTTGTATTTTGGTTGTATAAAAGACTTTTTTGTGTAAGAAATATGCATTGAATTAGACAGTAGTGAAGGGCCTCATGTTGGCAAATTTCAAGTGGATAAGAGGCAAAAGTTTCCTCATACTGCACCTCCTATTTTTCTGTGTTAGATTATTTCAAAATAAAATAATTATAATTGTAGAAATAATAGAGTGTGTCAATTCCAATTCTCAGTGCGTTCTCTTGCTTTCCCCCATTCTTAAGAATGGTCTGCGATGAAAAGGCAGATGGCATATTTACAAGAAAAGGAGTTTTTAAATGAACAACATATTAATTGTGTTTTGTGGGACAGTCATTTAATCACACCATATTCAGAAGCTCTCATTTTAGTTTTGCTCCTACTGGTTAGATTGCTTTCCTTATGGAAAAACACAAAGGCAAAAAGACAATCTTCACAAGTGACTATCTGTGGAGGAAGCGTGGAGCAAGAACATCTTTCTGTGTAATGAAAAGGTAGTGGTTTGAACAGAGATCAAAAAGTGAAATATGGCAAAGATAAGCTCTCAAAGGTTGGTGGCAGTAGACATGGAAAAAGGATTTGTCCCTTGCTGCCATGGGAAGAGTCAGGACTCTCAGAGTGAGACTAGGCCTCATGTTATAGGACCTGGGTGTGTCAAGTCAGGCAATATCTTACTTGAGATTTAAACTATTCATTGCCTCTTTAAATAACTGCAGACCATAATGTTTATATTTTATCTCTAGACATTTTTTAAAAAATAAAACATATGGAAATAGTATTATAACATGTCTCTATGCATTCACTGCAACTAGCTATGCTTTAATAGGAGCAGGTAGCAGGCATGACTTGCCATGCTCTTTTGGATTAGTGGTTCTGGAAAGTGGGAGAGCTACCCACAATACCCAGACATTTTTCCAATGGCAAAGCAAGCCAAGAATTTGCCTGTGAAGTAGGAGTAAGTTCAATAGCATGAGATTGTGCATCTTCTCTTTCATTCATTGTTTATGGACACCAGAACTCTTTGAACAGGTGTCTTCAAACTATCAAGCCATTTTCTATTCTGAACAATAGAGGCAACCAAGGGTCTCTTGCATTCTGCTCTCCTGAGAAAAGAACCACAGCCTCTTCTGCACCATTTTACACCAATATGTACATCACGGGGAGTTTTTTGTTTGTTTGTTTTTGTTTTTTTAATTCCTGCTCACTGGCATTCAGTTACCACAGTAGCTGGAAGGTCAAGTCCCCAAACAGTATTGATACCATAGGATAACCCTTGAGTCCACTGGCAGTCATTGAATAATACTAAGCCAGGAAGAAGGGGAACTTGCTTAGGCAATGGTACTAAAGGTATGTTTCTATGCTCATGGAATCCATAAGCCATTGGCACAATGCACTTCACAAATATTCAAAGACTAATTTCTCTTTACATCCACTTCTGTGTTCAGGTATCTATGCTGTTGCTAAAATACAAAAATGTCTGTACCACTAAGAAAAGGACCACTTTTGGGCAAATGGTCAATTATGGGCAACCCCTAGGCTATTTAGTTATATTTTTCTTGTTTTTATCATCTCTTTTTTTAATTGAAATTGTGCTAAAGTGTTTAACAAATGTCCGTTGTGTTTAACCAAAAGTAAAATGTAAAAATATAAAACTAGCCATTTACTTTGTCTATTTAGGTTCTAAGTAGGTAAATGACAAAATTAATCTATTCTTTTAAACGGAATAAAAAGAAAGCGAGGATAGAGATACTGTTAAATACTAAAGCAAACCGCAGAACAATATGTGAAGTATGATCATATATTTTTTGAAAACCCCCTTGAAATTTCCACTTGCAAAGCAAAATATCTAGAAGGATAGACATAAAACTTATATTAAATGTTGTTTCTAGGGAATTAGGAAGAAAATTGAAATTAGGCATAACATTTAAAGAAAAGTTCAAGCTTCTCTTTGACTTTATTGTAAGAGGAATTTATTTCAAGAAGAATTTATATATGTATTAAGTTTTCATCACTGCAACCAAAATACCTAACGAACCACTTTAGAAAAGAAAATGTTTGTTTGAGGCCCACAGTTCAGTCCACAGGCAACCAATGCCATTGCTTTGGGCCTGAGATTAGATAGAACATCATGGTGGAAGGGTGTGGTGGAGAGAAGCTGCTCAGGTCATGGCAGCCTGGAAATAGAGAGAGGAAGGAGATGTTATAGGGGAAAAGATGTAATCTTCAAGGGCATGCTCCAGATACCTACTCCACCTGCCTACAATTACCTTACATTACAGTAGTCCTTTCATATTATTAATCCACCAAATGAATTAATCTACTGATTAGGTTACAACTCTCATAATTGAGTCGAACTTTAGGGGGATACCTCGTATCCAAACCATAACAACGTATTAGATGATCATTTTTAAGGGTTATGTAATGATAACATTCAAGACTTCGAGGTGTTTAAAACATTGGAAATGTCACCTGTTACAATATATCCTATTTCCAAACCACAGAAATTTTTAATTTGCAGTAGATATTGATAGTCTTTCATATATATGTAAAATATAAGGAGTTGATCAATTCTTTATAGGCATTGATGGCTATAATTGAAATTAAAAAAAAGAATTGACAACAAATATATAAAAAGGGCAGGAGTTAATTAAAATTGATTTGGTATTTTTTCTTTAATGTTATTCAATATCTCATCATCTGAGACATAGCTATAATCATAGTCCTATGATAATATTCATTGCAAGAGGATTTCAATATGCTTACAAAGACTATTTTTAGCCATGCTAGTTCTTTGTGAGCTTCAGTATTTCCTGTTCACTCTTGACAATAACCATGGAATTACATCTGATGTATACTTAGTAAGCTTTATGGTCCTCTTAGATATTTCTACAGAATCTTAACACTGTGACCTACATATTCTCAAATAGATAGTCTTCTTTTCCAGAAAGAATTATTTAATGATTAGTCATTGAAAAGATTTGTTTCCCAGTTCAAATTCCACAGAATCTATTTTACTTTGTTTTTCTTCTCTGCTTAATTCACAGAAATTACTCAGTGAAATGATAAACTCAATGCACAACTTACAAGACTTTATTCCTAGTAAATTTTTAAAATATATTCTCATATATGTTCTAATGCATATACACAGTCATACACATTTAACTACACACAACAAACAATACCATCGGCAGTGAAGGATTATATGTGTAGACGGAAGGGAGCTATCTTAAGTTTTTCTACAAAGAGTAACAATGGAGGAATAACAAAGATCAAGATCAATGGAACAGAAAAACCAAAAACAATATAAAAATCAATTAATGTAATGAATCCAAACAATGGAGAGGATCAATAAAACCCCACAACTGAATAATTTGTCATAAAAACCAGTGAAATTATAAACCTCTAATTAGACTAATAAGAAAGATGGAAGGAAGGGAGAAAAGAAAAAAATATCGGAAAAAATTACCATGGAGGGAAAAGAGAGGATATTACTACAGATATTACAGAAAGTGGAGAATGAATAAATATTACAAACAACTTTATGCCAATAAACTTGGCAACTTGGCATTGACAAATAGCTCTAAACTCCTTTTTTTTTTTTTCCACCAAGTGATCTGTGCTTTGTAGAATTAGCAACATCTGTGGTCTCTACCCACTAGATGCCAGTAGCAGCTTCCTAGTTTGTTTCCACACATTGGCAGATGTCCCCTGGGGGCAAATTTATCCCTGGTTGAGAACCACTGTCCTAAACTAATTGAAAGAATTTTCATTTAAATGAAGAATAGATTAAATCCTTGCCACATGAAAACTCAAAGTCCAGCTGGTTTCACTGGAAAATCTATCAGACATTTAAGAAAGAAATAATTTTATTTATACACAAACTCTTTCATTTAATAACAATCGAAGAAATATTTGCTAATTCATTTTATAACAGTGGCATCACTAAACCAGAGAAAGGTACCACAAAAAGAGGAAATCTTGGGTTAATATCTCTTATAAAAGACATTGACTTATATCTTATAAATCTAATATAGTCAATCTTATATATATCTAATAAAATCTTATATATATCTAATAAAAAGAGAGGTGAACTTAAAAATTTACAAAATGTATTATACAACACAGAAAAATACATAATAATCAAGTAAAATTGATTCCAAGAATGCAAACTTTCTTTAACATTAGAATATCAAACATTGCAATCTATTATATTAATAGACTAAGAAGACTGATTATCTCAGTGTTTGATAAAATTCACTATTCATGAAAAAGCTCTCTACCAACCAGGAATGTAAGAGAACTTCCACAACCTGATAAAGGACATTGGCAAAAGCAAAATAAAGGAAAAAAAGTTCACAACTGTCATGATATATAATCATATATAAAAAGAAAATGCTTTACCCCTAGAGTCA